GAAGAACTCAGGGGAGGAGTGCGGCGTGGGCGGCGCGTGCTGCGGCACGGCGTGCTCGCGCCCTACCAGCGCCAGCCGCTGCTTCAGCACGTCGCGCTCGTGCGTCACTCGCGCCACCTGCAGCTGCAGCACGTGTAGCTCGTCCTGTAGCGATCGGTTCGTCAGCTCCAGCTCTTGTCGTTGTTGTAAGCGTTTGCTGCGACAGTTTTGCGCGTAGCCACGGTTTTTCAGTGTGCGTCGTTTCTGCTTAAGCCGTGTAACATCTTCTCGAGGGAAACCATGAAGTCGTTTGTTGAGTTCTCGTACACTTAACGTCATAAGCAAGTCGTCACTTATGAGGTCATCCCCACAGGAGGACGGCTGATAGGATGGATGAGGTCCGGTTCGGGGAGACATGGCTGAGCAGGAGCTGGCTGGCCGCAGCGCGACCTGTTGCATGTGGTGTTCCTGCTCTCGCCACTCACGACGATCCCATTCTTCAAAACTGCCACAAGGAACTGTACGCATGTCGAGCGGTTCTCGCATGTGTGGTAGCCAAAGAACGTCATCAACTAGCGCTGCTCGACAGGGACTTCGGCCAACAGGCGCTGGCGGCGTCTCCGGAGGTGTACTGGGGTCCACAGCGATAGCTACGTGTGGCTGGGGATACGGGCCCGCGTCAGGCCACGGTCGGCATGCCCGAGCACAGGCTGGTGGCGGCTCCACCATCTCTTGCCAGCCAGTACGAAGAGGTTCACGTTTCACAACATTATGGTCCTCGAGATGATCGAGTTCAAAGTTTTGCACGTACTCGTCGGCGAGCTGATCGTCTTCGCCATCGCGGTGCGGCTGCGGGGGCAGGGTCTGCATGGCGCTCGCCTGGGAGCAATCGACGAGCGCGTGTTCCACCATGGGGCCGTGCGGGGCGCACGCCGGCCTGGAGCGGACTGCCGCCGCGACACAGGGCGGCGCGAAACTCCGCCCTCCGACCCAATGACGTTTCGCGACGCGCGCATACACGTACAGCCTTTATTTTCACTGGCATAAGTTCGCTAATACTAGGATAATATCATAACATAATATAATAATAACATGACATACATTACGAAATATACGTGTACTTGAGTAGGTTCTGCATAGTAGCGAATTCTATGGATATCACGTACGAACGTCCATAATTATACTGTATCTGTATAAGTAGTAAGTATATCATTTAAGATTTAAGATTATCATTTTGTTGTTTAAAACAAAACTGCGTATATATTTTTTGTAATAATACCCTTGATATGTTTTGTATTGAAAAAGAACTTTATTGAAATTGGTGCTACGTTTCGTAGCACCTGTGCTACAACGAACGTTTTTACGTAGCGATCTACAGCTATAGCGCTACACAATTTTATCACTATTCATTTCGTGTTTTTTTCTCATAATTGTAATTATTTAACTGTCTTATATATAGCTATCGTTTGTAATATAATGAAAAATATTATCTAAGTGTAAGAAATAATAATACATATACTTAGGTACATGCATTCCGAAACTTAATTATTGCGTTGCCATATAAATTCACTTTTCGAAAACAAATTAGCATCCATGTCTTCTTTATGAATTATCATATCCAATTAATTAATACAGAACAAGGCAGCGAGGAGGCTAACTGTAGAACAAAGTGATTTCACGCGTGGTGGCCCACGAGGCAGAGGGGTTGGTTGGTTGGTTCATAATCGCGAATTACATGTAATCACAGGGCGAGCGTGACCTGCCGCTGCGAACGTTCAACCCCTTCCTTATTATCCCTTAATAATTGAAACGATATGCTTGTTATTGCAAGACAATACCCTCTGATTTGTATTTAAATTACAATGCTAATTGTGTACCTACAATGACTATTGTTTGTGCTTTTCCTCTTCTGCCAAATTTTTGATTCTGTGGAATCAATTATTCGTTACTATTGTAGTTAATAAATAAGAATAATCTTTAGATATTTAATCTATTAATTTGGAACATTTATATCTAATGGAGGCCAATGTAGTGAGCATCAGTATGCTCACTCCACTCAGCCAGTGCTGAGTAAGCGTTTTTACCGCCACATGTCGGAAATTCGATTCTCGCACTGACCGACTAATTGTGAATACACTCGTGATGCTTAACTTTAAATTGAGAAGACAGCTCTAAGTATATTTTCTTAATTACATCTTCAGCTCAACGATGACAAGATTATTAAACTGTCAAACACCAAGCGGTCACCGGTGACCGCAACCTATTGTTCTATAATTGTGTCTGCAAAACCGGTACTCGACGAGTTTAGTTAAGATATACTTTAAACGACATCACAAAAGAACATTGTTACAGAAAATACATTAGTTAATATTTTAATTTATGTTAGTACATGGATGGATAGATATAATATCTACCTACTTAGAGCGATAGGGTTGTAGCAGCCGGCAGTGCGGCGCGGGCTCGGCGGGCCGTGAGCTGACGTTGCCAGCACTGTTTGCTCGCCACGGTCAACATTGTTAGTAGCGCGCCCCGCAAATGTTATTACATGATTAACCCGAAGCTAACACGTATCCCACTTCTGTTTAACCTAGCTTTGTTAATTGCCCACTTTGAAACTGCGTACATCAAATTATTTCATCAATTCAAACAGTATGTGGGTTGGTTGGTATTGGGTAGTTAGCAGCTTTTTGTATAATGAATCGTTTATTATTGTCTAACCATTTTAAAATTAAATGTTATTGCAATTCATTAGTGACACAAAATTATGTATTGCAACTCTTTTTGGTTGGATGGTCCCTTGTAGTGTGACCGTCAAATAAGTGTCACGTGCTTTATTCCCAAAGGGAGAGGCAGAAGTGAAGACATTAAATTAATGTGATTCCAACTTTTTGTACATCATATGCTGATAACTCTCAATAACTTGCAAGTTGGTTAAGTAGTCGCCACTCGCCTGCGGGACTGACAAGCAAAAAACTTCGGATTCTGTTCGCAGGAGAATAAAGTGTATTATCTTGTAGGTGAATATTTATTTCTTTGAAAATCCTTAACATCATGATATTCATGGCTATTGTCCGTTACAGTACAGTCTTAAATGGCTCATATGAAATGAAACCCGCGGGAAGATCAGAAGTGGTGACAAGTAGTAAACACGAAGAGAATAAATTAATCAAATGTATATTCAAGAATATAATCTCAAATTTTCAGCATTGTTATTATTATGCAACAGGAAACATGATAAGAATGGTTCGGTTAAGCCAGGCGACCCCAGTCACAAGAGGTTTGCTCCCAGAGGCGGGACACGTTCGCGACCCGTTATCAAGACCTCTTCATCAATTGATTCCTCGCCCTCCGCAGCTCAATAGGACGACGATCCGCTTTCCAACAAACTACAAACGTCCTAAATTTGGATTTGTGAAATGAAAATGTGTGGCAGAAAATGGATTGTCTAAGGAATGTTGTATTTTTTTTTTTAATTAATTTATTTCAAATAAAAACTTTTGAATTCTTAATGACTTTAATTCTAAATTAGGTCAAACTAAATAATAACAATTTAGACTGTACACTAGAACCTAGAATTAATTTATGCTCACCAACACGATGTACCTATTTACCAAGCGATTGTCCAAAATTGGTTCGGGAACAAAGTCAAACAATAAACAATAGCTAGTAAGTAATAGTACCTAGTTCCAAGTTTAAAAGAACGTGTGATTCCCTCCACATTTTTATTTCAATGGTAATGTGGCGCCATTCCACAGTAGTGACATCTATCCTCAGCGACAGAAACTTTTGTACGGCTTCCCCAACCCTATTTTTATTCCTGCTTAACTAAAAATAGCACAACTATTGTATGTGTATGAAATCCGCGCTCGATTTTAGTTCCACTTTACTACAACAGGTGGCTCTAGACGTGTTTAATTTTTATTATCTAGAATAAATAATAGGTAGGTTATTTAATCAGCAGTTTTCAATTTGTACGTGATAAAACGGTTTATGGAAATCCCTAAAAATAATTATGCTTACAAAGATGCAATACAATTTGTTGACGGTATTTGAAAATTAGACTATCTATTAAAAAGTAATTTACAAACAATTAAGGCATAATAAATCTTATTCCAAGGCGTAAAAGTTTATATTGAAGACATCTCTATTGCATTGGTCTTGCAAGATTGAATTCCGGTCAGCATAAAATCATAAAATTAAAATAAGTAGGGCATCACAGTTTTCCTAGTTTAACTATTCAGCTAATTACATACACTTAACTAGACAAAGTAGCGTCTCGTCATGAAAACAAATCGTGTATAGATCACACTAATAGCAATACGTATTAGAGTTCAAGGTAATCAGATAAGGGTTCATCGACCTCTGCACATGCCTACAGCGCGTCAAAGGTTGAATATGACGGAGATATTTTTGTTATCACGTAATCAGTGGCATCCCGAACATAATCTGTGCCCGGACATATCCAAGGTCGAACATATACATTTATAATTTCTTCAGCGTGTCTTTCTCACGTGCGTTTGCGCATGCCAGCTAATATAAGAAACATCACGTGTATACAGCCACGCAGTAACGATCGGTATTTCTGCGACTACAAACGTGGCTTGTACTATGCCAAAATCTAATTTCCGAAACTATTTCCGCAGCTCAGTCTATTCAACCCGACATAGTGTAAAATAAAACACTTAAATTATCAAAAATTACTTTATATTCTTATAAAAGTACAAAACATGTAAAATATACATATAAGTAAGTAAATACTTACTGAACATTATATAAATCCAATTATAACAAATTCATTTAAATGCTTTTGTATCATAAATGTGATTTACAATATGACAATAAAAATAATAAATAGCATTCATAATTTCCTGTATTGCACAGTAAAAGAGTTAATAAAGGTTACATAGAACATTCTCTACAAATAGCTATTATCCATGATTACTTGTACTAAAAAAAATTTTCATAAGTTCTCATTTTAAAAGCATAATAAGAATGTTATACAAGAAGTATGATTCCTTTAGTTTTTTTTTTTTCGAGAAATGGCCTAGTATATCACAATATAGTGTGTAGCACCAAAGTGCGTTCAGTCTTAATTAAAATGCTAGAAATTCAGGAAAAATAGGGATCTGTCCAAGAGACCCTACAAAATTAACTTAAATTTTACCAAAATTAGCCCCATGTTCTAACACCTAAATCGTCGACAACCTACACCATAAATAAAAACTCTTTAGTTCAACCACTACTGTATAACTTATAACTAGAACACATGATTGCTTGACTTAAAATGTATAAAATAATTATTCTTATAACTATATTAATTATTCTAATTTCATATATAAAAATTTTGGCAAATTCTTGACTAAAACAACCAATCGATTACAATTATTTCATAAATATTATTGTAATATTTCTAATAAATAAATATGAAATAGATTTTGCAACACTTTTAAATATGATAAAGTATGAAAAAAAATGTGACTAATTACCATGCACCTACATGACCTACATATATTTGAACACCTGGATGAAGAACGAGTGAATAACATACATTGTCATGACAATAAGTAGTTTCTATAATAAATAAAATATATAGAAAAGTGCTACAAAACCTTTTCACTAATAATCTCCTCATAAGTTCATTCAATTATGGCACTTCTGGCGTTGGTTTAAAATGCAACATGGCGTAATCGTGGTAGTACATCATGATGGCGAGAGGCTGGCCGAGAATTAAGGAGCTCCACACCATAATGTTGCCCCAACGCGGTCCGAGCCTTATTTCGGCAGTGCGAGAGATAACCGCCAATGGTGGCTGGGCCATCATACCTAAGAATGCCCAAATCCTAAACATTTGTAGTGGCACACTGACCTGTAACAATTTATTAAGTGTCATTTGTAAAAGTGATTACAAAATTTTGTTATAAGAAAATTTACCTGTTTGCGTCTTTGTGTATTACACAAAATGCAACAAGTAAAACTTTACAGTTCAGTATCGGTATCAGAAGATATCCACTGCTGAAAAAACATCTCACGTTTTGCCATAAACCTCACTTTTGGCATGACGGCTTGGAGATCAGACTACCGTAATAACCTAGATGCGCAATTTTTATTTTAATGTACGTCTGGTAGATTGTTTTAAATCATTAGACACGTATTTTTTATTTTCTTACAGAAACGAATACTTTCGACGATATATTGATTTGAAATGTCGTGTGACGTCACTTCTATGTACATTTTATACGTAGAAATGACGTTTTAGCCCCAACTCCTAAACTTTGATTCGTTTTATCTAAGTATTGTTTTATTATACAACAAAATAAAAAAATACGTGTCTAATATGTTTTCATTACCTAACTTACGGACTAATTAGATTTTTAATTTTCATACATGACAGGATCATCCCAATTAGAACTACGAAATTTAATTCGATGCGACTCACGTCCCTTAGTGGCTTCAAAATAAGGTACTCACCAAATATTCATGGAACAACGCAGATATGGCGAAGACAACGATTCCAGCGTTGAACTTGCTGAATCCCATTCCAGTTATTGGTTTATACACATGTCTGACCGCCCACATGTGAACTGGCATGTTCCAAGTACTCCAGAACACGGATATATTGTTGGCATTCCACCAGTCTCCATAGAACTTGCGATCAGCGAACTGCAGCAGCTCACCCATTAGGTTTAGGAACGAATGGAACGTCAGGTAGAAGAAACACAGCCAGAGCAGATGGTTTGGAACCTGGAAAAATTAAGACAGGGTTTCTTTAGTTGAACTATATACTACGAAATTAAAAAAATCGCATTTGCAGTGCTTATAATGCTTTGGAACTCCACACCTCAACTACTCTATGTGTACTACTAAATCATTTCGAGGATGGATCGATTTACAATATAAATTCGACTTAGCTGGATTTCATATTTTGATATTATTTCTTTTTAGGTACTCATGCAGTAAACGAGCCACTTGAAGTAGCTGTAAGATAGCTCGAAGAAGCTTAATACGATCGCAATTTTGGCACTAACTCAAAGACGATTATGTTAATAGTTTATGCGAAAATTCGGATATAAAATAAAACTATGAATAAAAAAGACATACGCATTAGTTGCGCAGCTTCTAAAAACAATTGCACGAGCAGAGTACTAAACGCAGTACAATGGATTTATTTCTTTAAAACATTCTTTGATCGCCCAACAATAAGATGACCTTGTTTCTTGGCACCTGAGCAGAATTTCAAGGCTGAAGAAAGTAGCATGTAGCTAGATCAAATCTACAAATTAGGTACCTATACATAGTAGCAATTTTTTATGAGGGAAAGTCATCGAATGACTGCTCCCGCCTGGGTGAGGCGGGAGGGAGTGTCAGACTCTTACTGACTAAATACCACCTCGTTCCTTCTCCTGCGCGTCGAGCCCGAGCCCCGGTTACCCGTTAGGTTCTCCGCGACACATAGTAGTAGTAGACCATACTTTTGGGTTAAAAATATCAAACATTTATAAAAGACTAACTATTTGATACTGTCTTATGAATTCGCCAGACAGAAACGTAACGATTAATAAAATTGCTATTTCGCAAGAAAAACGATTATTCTCCGAGATCAGAATCGAACACTTTTGTGTTCTAATCAAGCTAAACAACAGTGATTGTTACAATGTTTAATTAGTAAGGCAATCAAGATGTACTATCTAGCACTTGTACAAATGACTTTATGAATGAGAGCCAATTGGTAGGGGCTTGATATCCGTAATTATTTTTATGCCTTGTCGACTTGCCAGTTCATTAGCAAGTCTCGTGCACCGTTTACCTGCGTGGGCGACTAGCATTCAGACAATTTGTTCTATTTCAAAACTGCAGTCTGACTGCTGGTATTATATTTCTTTCACTTGGATTTTATTATCTTTTGCCGTATGGTAACAATAGAACCGAATACATTTGTCATTATAATCTGTCTCCGAACGAGTAGTTGGATGATTGGAACACTCTCTATTATATCGGAACATTTTAAACTGCAGTCTTCGATCCATCATCAGGCGAGATAGTGGTTAAACGTCGGCCCATCGAATATATATAAAAAAAAACCTGTTAAGTGAGGATAAAATGCAACATCCCTCTTAGTTCCCTACCTAAGAGGGATATTGCATTTTATTGCCTCCCTAGGCCTATAGTCTAACACGGACTGCCGCAGCTTATTGCTGCAGGTAATGTGCATGGCACGTGTTGTAACAAAGTTAGCATTTTCTTTAAGGTAGACCTTGAATTATTTTGCGCTTTTGTATTCAGGATATTTGAATGGAATGCCTAATATTTGTATAGGTAATATTCAAAACCTATTGTCATAACTAAGTGGTGATGTAACGAGCCGTATCATAAAACTTAAGTTATAATAAAAAAATAAATATGTTATAAATCTCTGGCTATTTATAATTTTAAATATCGTGTCGCTAAACAGAAATGTCTAGGCTGTAAGCCAATTTTCAAAAATAGACTTACAGCTAATTTCAATAGTCTCTCCGTGATCCTTATGGGGTCCATCTTGGTGAAAGTCTCCACAGAATTCGTGATGGTGGGTATCATCCATTGTTGGAACAATGCCAAAGCTAGATTTATCCCGAAGAACAGCTCCAATACTCTTTTAATTACAAAACGCTTCCTGATCCTGAAATAGATATCGTTAACAATGTAGTTATACTTTATAACTAGTTTTTTATTATTCGTAATAAATATGCATTTTGAATGTTGCCTCCTTCAAGACATCAGTGTGTTGAAGTCGGTTAAAGACATTTGGACAAGGAACATTTAATAAAAACTTTGGGTCTATTGGTAAAACTTTTAACCTTCGATTTTCCTGCTAAACTATAAAGGACACAAATAAAACGTGTCGTCATGTCTGGCTTAAGTATATTGAGTTTAATAATTCCCCCATTACGTGAATCGATCATTCAAAATTTTGACGTTAAGTAAACAAAACGCCACGTGCTTTATAAAATTCTCGTGTTTGCATTGATATATATCAAGATAACATGATTACAGGACACGTGTTGTCTCACGTTTGTTTTAAGAAAACGTGAGTTTATTGCCCTCGAAACCACACCTGTACCTACTTGACAAATACTTGTCTCTCTACGTGATTACCACTTTAGTTTAAATAGGGCGCTCGTGATAAAGTAGTTAGACGTCGAGTTGGCATCACTGCAGCAATATAGTCCTTCCGAAATACATCTGTCAAAAACTACTCAACTAGTTGGCATGCGCAAATAAACTATTATTATCTTAAAACTATTCTATCACTACTTGAAACGCTACGCAAAAACTACTCAGAGAGTCATGCCGTAAAAAAATAATAGTTGCATTTATTAAAGACAGTCTACCTACCAGTCACAGTCATTAATATAATAACGACTTCATAATTGACTCAAGTGACACAGTCGACCTTCTACGACTAAAAATATAAGATAAAAAAACAAATGCATTCAAAACTAACCGTGCAGTTCTGGGGAAATTCAACTCATAACAAAGGGTGGGGGCCAACATAAAGTAAACCAAGTCTTTTAAGTTCAGATTATCCGGGTACTTGGTCAGCCTCGCTGCAGCTGGAGTATCATTGATTAGGTCCTCCTTACTCTCTGTTGGGAAAGGGTCATTAGTTAGGTACTGGTTGGTGATAACCTAACGGACATTTTCAATAGAACACCTATCTGGATCCTCTTTATAGTAATAAGATAAATGTATGAGCGCACCTAACTCCTAAACGCCTTCAACAAATTGGATAGTATCTTTTTCATCTGCCATGTTTACGGTGACAAGTATAAACTTGTCAAACATTTTTTCTTTCATATAAATTGATTGATTGATGTTAGGACTTATCAAGAACATTGGGATCAGGTGATATTTTATTCTAGTGGAAATTAAAATATGTCATCACTTCTGACATGTGAAAAGCCTTAATGTATCTACTTGAACATGTGTAGGTACGTCTTTTGAATCTTAGAATGTTATCTTAATCCTGATTGAGTTTCCAGACTTGCCTTGACTGATTATATAGTTGAATTGATATCGCAATCGCAACTTATTTGGCTATATTTACAACATACAGTATCACAATTATATAGTGTTATAATTGTTCTTAGATTACGTTTGTTGAGATTAAAAACACCAGAATTTGTGTACCTACATATTCATTGGCCAAATTGGGTACATAGTTTCAATGAACGAACACACCAACATTTAATTAGAGATAGTCTAAAATTACCTAGCGTTATCGATAACTTTGTCCGAAATAAATAGTTTTCTATTGCAGAGACTAATCCAGATAGTTTGTACATTGAAATCGTCCATTAGTAGTTATCAAATATTGACTTAAAGTGCGATTAGTGTATATTACACAAGTCTTCCACGCAACTTTAGATTAGCAGATAAAAAGAATAAGTACAGATAGTAAAAGGATGTGATAACAGACGTAAAAGTGTTTCTAGGAGCCGAAAACAATCTTACGTAATCTATATATATAAAAGAAAGTCGTGTTAGTTACACCACTTATAACTTAAGAACGGCAGAACAGATTTAGCTAAAAATTGGTAGGGAGGTAGCTTAGAGCCAGGAGACGGACATAAGATACGTTTTATCCCGTTCAAAAAAAAAAGTTTAGTTTAGTTTTAGTTTCCTGGAAAAATAGGATTGCGCGAACGAAGTCGCGGGCAGAAGCTAGTAGACGATAAAAGAATTAAGTGCAATAATCGATATTAGAATTACATTTTCTATAATAAATGCTAATATAAGGCAAGCAAATGGTCTACTGATTTTTCTACAACACTGCAACCAAAGCGGTTTCACTCTGCATAACTACAATGAAGCCTCAAAGAAACAGACAAACACACGCTATTAGAAGAAAAAAACAGCACTCAAAGCAAAGAAAACATATTTTTTTTTATAAGGAAGTGGGCACACACAAAACCATATCAAACTTACGCTCTTGGTCTGCCGAAACAAGTTCATCTGTAATCAATAATCATTGAACAACCTTTAAACTCTGTGTCCTCAAATATTACTCAATTTTGATGGTGTCATGACCTTTAAGGCCGGTATAACACTGATATGATAAACAATTTCTAAACTGTTTATCAATGTAGAAAATGTATCTCTTCATTAGACAGTCTTGTAATAAAGAAAATATTTAGCGATTCGATTTTAACACTAAGAAAAAATAACATAGCTGTTGTTTTAGAACATTTTAGAATAAACAAAATGTTAATTTTGATAGTGCAATACCAGCCTTATAGTATTTTTATCAATAACACAGATATCGTTATTAAGCAACTCACTCCAGTTGGGTGCAGACAAACTCTGCCTACGAAGTTTAGTATCCGAATACTTCTTCTTTAATCCAAGGCGGCACCAATAATTAGTTTGAGTGTAACTCCACAATTTCAAAAATATTATCAAGTAGAGCATACATACTGATGTTATACCCACTGAAAAAAAAATGCAAATCATGATTACTAATTGTGTATCATACCTTTTTTTTGTTCTATTTTTTTATCGACATTTGTTAAGATATTAAGAATAATGACTAAAACCATTATACATATTTACCGAAACTAAAATCGTTGCCCCTGTAATGTAGGACTGCGATAGGCAGTAATACCATAAGAAGTAAATGAGTTATCTGCAATATGATGCCAAACTTGTTTGGAATTAAATCCTAAAACCAACAAAAACAAGATTAATCCTTCTTTGAAATCACCTTGTAATTGTAAATTCAAAAACATATATTTTGGGTAAGTAATACTTACAACAGCTATTCCCTTTTCAATAAGTAGACTTAGAACGATAGGCACGATGCTAACTGAAAACAAAATAGTGCTTAAAAAAAAGGTAATTCACGAAATCCAATGTTATTACTTTAAAATGAACTCTTAGTACATTACTGTAAGATTTATTTTTCGAAACAAGATAAATGAAAGAGGCTCTAATGCAATATCCGTAAGCTTTGGTTCTGTGATCTTTTAAAATGGGTTTTACAAAAGATAACCTTATGCAATACTCACAAACTATCAAAATAACTGAAGGGTACTGGCTTCGATCACCTTCATTGTAACCAGTTAACACTACGATCCATTCGAGCGGGTTTACACGCAATCCATATCTGTAATACAAGATGTTAATAATGAATAGATTACATGAAACACGAATATTGCGTAAAGGGATAATAGTTGTAAACTTATCCACTTTTCGCCAGCAATTATGTGATAAGGGAGAACATTTTTGTACAGACGGAAAATCTAATAATCAAATGCTTCCACCCACCCTGAGATTGGCGAGAGCGTCTAGTTTCTTACTGATTAAAACCACCCCATTCCTATTCCTGCCTTATACCTAGCGTTCCTACGCCGCAGCTGTCTCTGATGATCTGGTGTGTTCTTCGAGACGCGCCAGACGCTCGGAAAATAAGCCCGAAACCCTTTTGTGTTTATGACGCGACCAATGAGGTACCCAAAAAAAACAAATCATTCTTACTAGACAAATCTGACAGAATGAGTCAAATCAATGACTAAGGAAGAAGAAAAGGAATCACATATTACTATTAAACCTTTTCCTCCACTAACAAATGTGTGGCTTTTGAGAAGGCTAAAGCACTAATTTGTATAAAATACACATATCCTATTGCCTGGCCATGAAAATAAAAACATTTATGCCAAGTACTTTCAAATCATTACATTTAAATTTATTTCTTCGGGAAACTTCACAACATCTCGCTTGCCTTGCGTAAGGTCAAATAATTACCATTGGACATTGGTCAACGCTAGTAAACACAGAATGAGTATGACGTCATGATACAAAGTGCACAATTCACTACTATATAGTTAAGTAGGTACAATGTACATGTATTTGGCAATAAGTGTTAAACACAGTTAATTTATTATATCTATTATCTATGTAAGGTTGTTAGAATCTATGTATTATTTGGCTATCTGTAATGTATTTATTGCTAAGTTACTACACAAGTTTTTTTTTGTACTTCACAACCTTGACGCGAAATATAATCGCGTGGAGTTGCATGTACCTAGTGGTAATTGTAATAAAATTAGCATAATTTACATACCTGATTTGTCATTCTGAACAACAGAAAAAAGAAATCAAGATTAGTGGAAGGTTTAGAAAACTATCGTTAAAGTGTTTTTGATAATTTATAGACAACTCTAAGTTTACTAAATCAAATTCTGAATAGGTAGAATTATCGATGTTTACACAAAGAGATATATTTGCTATTAATAGTAAATATTTAATAGAACCTAATCGGATAAACATTATTTAATCCCTTACTCATAATAAGTACTAATACAAGAAATAAATGAATTCATTGACAAACAAAATACTTACTTTAAAAAATTTTCAAGACCTAATCGGACTCCTCCGACAGAGAGCATCAAGAAGCCCCAGTTAACGAGGCCGGTGAAATCATTGAACTCTGAGCTCCATGAGAAGAGGGAATCTCTGGGAGTGTGAATGCTGAAACAAAACACTATTATTAGTACTTTTAAATAAGAATAAGAATTAAATAACAAACTGTGTCTTATCAGAATTCAACCAATTAATCTCATTATGAGTAAATTTTATTTTTTAACAGAAAAAAATTTACAATTATGATAATTGATTGCACGGTTGGTGTGGTGGCTGGGTAACCGGCTGCCGTGCAACGTGTCGCGGGTTCAATTCCCGCACGGAACAACACTTTGTGTGATCCAAAAGTTGTAGTTTCGGGTCCGGGTGTCATTGTAAAAACCCTAATGTGGGGCAAAGTTTTATTAAAAAAAAAAAAAACAAAAAAAAAAAATATCTTTATTATAATTATCAGAAAACAGATCTACTCTAATAGAAAATAGATTAGTTGGTAGCCAGAGCCACATGATAATAAGCCAATAGTAAATTACTCAAACAAGAATCATATAACTACTTTGCTACTCTCAGACTTGGTAATGGTATTCTTATATTATTACACTCACTTTCCTGTTGAAAATATTAGAAAAATACGACTTACGGCTTATCCAATTGCAGTTTTCGAACTTTCTTCTCCTGTTCAGTTATTTCCTCTGCTTTCGAAACACTTTGAGCTCTCCTATAGCGGAGAGCTTTTTCTTCAGATTCAGTAGTCATCTTGTTCTAATCCTGACTAGCTATCTGCGTTAAAATAAACGATATTATGATTAAAAATTGAGGGTAGGCAGAAGTGGAAAAAATTAAGAAAATCTTTCACTATAATTCATTACATTTCTTAATTTAATCAAATGATTTCATTTCAATATACAATCTAAGAAGGATCATTAGATACCTGGTTAAAAGCGCTAGTTATATTGATGTAACTTGTTATCACTAGCGGTGTACAATTACTACATATCAACTAACAGTTAAAAAGCGATACGTACACAATTACTGGACTAAAAGAAACATAATATTCCCGTGGCGGCTGTACCAATTTTCACTTCACTGTTAAATTGTTCTCGTAATTCACTAAAAATATTAGAAATCTTGCACTGCCCAAACACTCGACTTAGACCAAATTGAACAATATGTCAATTGTCAAATTCGAAATTGAGATTGTCAATAAACTAAAACGTCAATCAGTCAACCTTCAAATGAACTTAGATACATACATTTTAAATTTTCCCGCCACAATGTAAAAATGAAAAATATTAGCTGAGGTTAAAGATTAAAAAAATCCCTAATTATATCCATAAGATATCATTTCATTTTATAACATTGATGATTAAATATGGGAGACACTGTTTTAATTAAAAAATAAATAATTAATCAATTTGTAGTTCCGCGTTCCGCGTTCCTAAACACTAAACGTGTTACCATAAGAAAAATGTGTCTAATTTGGTAAGTTCTAAAAATCTTAATAATTTTGTTTTTAAATAAAAATCGGAACATCTAGCTGATTTATATTAGTTAAAATTGGTATCCATCGTTGCAGATGTTGCAGCTTTTGAGGCCAATAAATAATTTCGTTTTAAAATTAACAATAACAATGTTACTTCTAAACAGTAGTTTCCTGTTTTCTTTTTATACGTTTTCATTTAGTAGATTCACAGATAAGAAATTGGTCACTTCAAACCTCGACACAGAGGATAAAGGTCGTCTGTGTATAAATGTGACTACCTAATATGTAACGGAAGTTCAAGGAAAAAACCAGGCCACTAATGAGATAATTTTGATAATTATCTCTAAATTATTGATTAATTTCGTAGTAAATTAGATACTAAAATGAAGATTTGGACTTCAGAACACACTTTCAAGTAAGTTGTGACGATTGATATTATGACGCAACCTTGAAGTTGTGAGGCTAGAACTCACAAAATATTATCTATCCCTTCAATCAGTCATACGTCTTTGTTCGTTTTACAGCCATCCGTGGGAGACGGTTGCTCAAGCAGCATGGAGAAAATACCCCAATCCTATGAACCCCGCAGTTATCGGAACCGATGTAATCGAAAGGAAGGTTGTGGATGGGGTTTTAGTCACACACAGACTCGTCAGTTCGAAATGGTTTTTCCCGAGATGGGCACAAGCAGTAAGTTTCGCAACATTACGTTTTAATTATTACATTGCTTTCAAAAATGTGAATTAACCTTTAGTTTCGTGATTGTGTTGAAAGATTTAACTAATTTACATAATATTTTATTTTTAGCTCATTGGAACTGCGAAAATTTGCTACGCTAGTGAAAAATCTGAAGTAAACCCAAATGAACGACAGATGACCTTAAAAACAACAAACCTCACATTCTGTCGGTACATTGCTGTTGATGAGACTGTACGGTACACACCGCATCCATCTGATACTTCCAAAACCTTGCTAAAACAGGAGGCTGTAGTCACAGTACAAGTAAGTTATCATTATAATTTATAGTATATAAAAAGCTCCATTTTCACTTTTTAATTATGTTTGCATGACAGTAAACAAATGCTATTATATTCCAATTAGCTCTCTAGTTCCATATCACATGCAAGTCTCATAAAAAAAGATTAATACTACATTCTTATTATAACTTAAAACTTAACAATTAGGTATAATATTTAATTTAAAATCAATTTGTGGGTAGAAAGTGAATTTAAAACACACCAGGTCTAGTGCTCTCTGCCTTATCTAATGTTTCAGTACCAGTGTTAACAATCATATTTTTTTCAGGGAGTACCACTTAGTAGCTACATGGAAGATCTCTTGACTAACAAAATATCTTTGAATGCTGGCAAAGGTCGCCAAGCTATTGAGTGGGTCATTGGTAAAATAGACTCTGAAATAAAAGAACTGGCAAGTACAGCATGTAAAAGCACAGATGAACTATTATCACACACAAAGAAATCTCTTGATGACATTACTTCCACTGCACGGAGATCAATGGATGATATATCATCGAAGGCCAAGAGGTCACTGGATGATATAGAAAAATTCACTAAGGCCAATGCCAATCAAAGGAGCTGAAAAGAGGAGTGATCGTATTGTTGTGCCACACAACTCATGACCTGCACTAAATGTCTAATTATAACTAGTTAATTTATGTACTGTTATAATACTGTAATTTATTTATTTTGTAATAGCAAAAATGTGCTTAATAGCGTGCTTACTAAGGTGAATATTCAGATAAAGGCACAGTTATCAAGTTAGTTTTTGCATGGTATATCAACTGATTGTGTTATCAGCTTTATTGAAGATTGATGACATATCAGTAAAATGTTAAATGTGCAAAACTCTCTTCAAATGTGTAACATAGTACCTGCATTGAATTTTTATTATTATAGATAGGTATTCTTGTTTTTGGGAATAATATAAATTACCTCATATGACAAATTTATTGTCACTCCTCAAAGAGTAAATGTGTTGTTGTGTAGTTAAACTTATATATTGAGGAAAAGTAATTGTAGATAAAATGATTTTAATAAGTATTGTAGATTTACAAAACTAAATGTGTATAAATGTAGCTTAATAATAATTGGATGTTTAATGATAGTAAAATTTCTTTCACATTTTATATTAATTAATTACTATATTAATATATATTCTTAAATTTAATGACAACACTTTGTGATAAAAGGTAATTTATGCAACACAAAACAAGTTGGCAAGGATATTTTACTTTCAATTCCAAGTCAAAGCCAAGAATAGGAATGATGATAATTATAAATCGATTTAGTCCATCAGTTAGGTAATGTATAAATATTAGACACGTATTTTTTACTGTCATATAAGACAACAATAGGTAAACAAATAAAAGTTTGAAAGTGGGATATAGAAAAAAAAATACGTGTCTAATGTTTTAAAATAATCTACCAGATGGACATTAAAATAAAAAATCGTCATCTACCCTATTGCTAATGCAGACAAGACTGATACACTTCATAAGAATAATGATCCCATCTATGCTTGATGCAGATAACAAATAACAATATATGGACCCATATCTGTCTCAAAGATTGTGTGCAATCATGAATGTAATGTAATGTATTATCTACATCCACTCATATGGACAGGTGCAGTCAGGTCAATCAATAGTATGATCATTCTTGTAAACATTGTATATTTGCGAAACTCAGCCATATGCTACCATTCCTTGTTGGTTGTCCTTGAGTTATGGCAAATGCATTCCAAGTTAATGTCGTTTTGTGTTAGAGTTGATACCAGCCCACACTGGTAACGAAAAGGAGAATTGTCGTGTTTTAAGATTCTTCCTGTCCACATTTTTATATGACTTTTCACTTTTGAGTGGCACGAAAGTGGCAGTTTTTACCAAAGGATTACTTATATTTGAATGCAAATAAGAAGAACAAATTTCAAATTATTTATCTAAAAGTTACATTGTGACCTCATACCAAATGTGATCTTATGAACACTTGGTATTGATCTAAAACTATTTTCAGCATCAGTGTATTTTAAATTTCATATGATTTGCAATAAATTTTTGATGAAGTATAAACATGCTGTTTTTTACTACTTAACTTTGTCTCCTCTGTAACCTCCTCATTATGCAAATAAATAATTATTAATGTGTGTTACGATAAAAATTACTTTGACAGTATATCGTGTAGGTCAATACAATGTACCACACGCATTTCTCCCTTGAGGGATAGACACATGAAATATGCACATATTATTATACACCTATTTAGGTATTAAATTTAACACAAACTTCGTAAGTTATGTTTCAATCTAGTCCTGATTCTAAGTATAAATAGTCAACAAAAGTAAATAATAATAAAAACTAATACTTTTTTAATTAATATACTTCGGAAATAGTCTCATGTGTAAAGTATCTACACAAATGTCGTGCTCCGTCATCGGCATAAAAATCTATACTAATATTATAAAGAGGAAAGATTTGTATTTTTGTATGTTTGTAATGAATAAACTCAAAATATACTGGGCTGATTGCAATAATTTTTTCACCATTAGAAAGCTGCATTATTCAGAAGTAACATAGGCTATATAATATCACTCTAGGTCCTATAGTTGTGGAGCAGTAACCAAATGTTTTAAAAACGGGGGAAAAGTATCGTTTCTGAGGCCTTCCGTGGCGTGCGCTGAGCATATAGACCTTTTGAGCGCCAATGTCACAAATACGTGACCAGCGAACACTGTCCCAGGACGCCAACGACACAAATACATGACAGAAAAAGCGGAAATGGAAACACGAAATCAACGATTTGATTCCCCATTGGAATCGCTATTTCTTTTGTAGAAAATTGCGCGGAATTTGTGGCTTGGCGTTGAGGGCAGGTTCATGTATTTTTGCTCTGGCGTTCAAAAGGTTAAAGTTATACAAAAATGCTCTATAGATGAATTGTTCATCTTAACATTATTTTTAAAAAAGTCCGCGAGAGCATATGTCTACCTTTTATAGTTTACTCATAACAATCGTTTTAATGAATGGTTCAATCCTTATAAATAGGTAGGTTGCTATTTAAGAAGAAAATAATTAATTAAATAAATGAAATAAGTAAATGAAGTCCGGAAAAATATTTTCAAAAGATAAATACTTCCTAAATAAAAAAAAACTGAGAATAAATATAAATAAAACGTAAAACTATGTAAAAAATCTTAAGTCCCCCCGTGCGAAGCCGGGACGGGCCGCTAGTGTAAAATAAAAATATATCCTCATCACGAATCCGTGTAGGTAGGTACATCCGTGTAGGTACATACAGGAAGGAAACAATGCTTGTACCTAATTGTAAGTATGTCATTCAAATGTAACACAAGCCACACACAACTGTTGAATGGTACCTATCTATCAAATAGTCCAACTGCATTGACCTTTTTATCATTAACACGTGACCAATGAATAGTTGTATACAAATACGACTCTGGCATGTGACTACTGACTACCTATACGATTAGTAAGATAAAACGTAGGTATTTAGCTGTCTGTATACCTAGTGAATGCGCAATATTATACTACGGATATGACGTCTTTGTGTAAGGCGTATGCTATTCTTTTTTATTAACCGACTTCAAAAAAAGGAGGAGGTTCTCAATTCGGCCGTATATATGCTTTTTTTTATGTTTGTTCGCCGATATCTCCGTTGTTTATGAACCGATTTTGAAAATTCTTTTTTTGTTAGAAAGAAGTTAGTTCCAAAATGGTCCCATGATAAGGAAATCAGGATCTGATGATGGAAGACCAGGGAAACCGAGGGGAACTTTTAAAAATTATAGGGGTGACTAGGGCATTTGTTAATTTTTGCATTAAGTATTGGAAACCACTACAATCTGATAAAGGTCTGGAGCCGATCTGATGAAGTAGTACGATAGTCGAGGGAACTCCTCAACGGTTAACACTAGCTACCTTGTGTTTGGGTTTGATTAATTTGTATTGATGAGGACTTTACACCTAAGTAAGGTGTAATTGTCAATAAGGGTCTGATGATGAAGTAGTACGATAGTCGAGGGAACTCCTCAACGGTTAACACTAGCTACCTTGTGTTTGGGTTTGATTAATTTGTATTAATGAGGACTTTACACCTAGGTGGGGCGTAATTGTCAATAAGGGTCTGATGATGAAGTAGTACGATAGTTGAGGGAACTCCTTAACGGTTAACAGTAGCTACCTTGTGTTTGGGTTTGATTAATTTGTATTGATGAGGACTTTACACCTAGGTGGGGTGTAATTGTCAATAAGGGTCTGATGATGAAGTAGTACGATAGTTGAGGGAACTCCTTAACGGTTAACAGTAGCTACCTTGTGTTTGGGTTTGATTAATTTGTATTGATGAGGACTTTACACCTAGATATGGGGGGGGGGGGTGATGGTCATTAAAGGTCCAATGATAAAGTACTATGATAGCTAAGGGACTCCTCAATGATTAAGAGTACCCACCCGGTGTTTGAACTTGAATAATTTGTATTGATGAAAACTTTGCATCTATGTGGGTTGTGTATAATATAATATATCAAAGTACTAAACTAAAAAGTATAAAATAAAATTATAAACTGCGTTTAAAAAAACCGACTTCAAAAACTAATGACAAACCAAAAGTAAAAACTAAAAAGGAAAAAAATAACTATTAGTGGTCATACGTACTTATAGCTTACACACCCATTGATAGGTTAGAAGTCGGTGCCACAAACCCACAACAAAATATAAAGTAGTCATACAATAGATACAATCATGAAAACACCGGAACACTGAAGTCCGGCGCGTCCCAGGGACTTGAATAACTGTCTTGGTTCGCACAGGACTTGGGGTACCAGACTCATTTACTGACTAAAAACCACACTGTTCCTTCTTCTGCACTTCGAGCCGGAGCCCCGGTAGCTCATTAGGCTCTCCGCGACTCCGAGTCAGCATCAGCCCATCAGCCCTATTGGGCCCCATCCGTGGTGGTCTGATGGCTTTTTGAGGTGCGCGCGAAACGCGAAGCGCCGTACGCGCGGGTCGCGGGACGCGAGACGCGGGTCTGGTTCTGGTCGGACGATAAGACGCCGTCCGCAGGCCCGTGCTTACGGTGACCGGAGATCGTCCCGCGATCCCCGATGCCCGGAGTGTCCTTCGCGATTGCTGGTCCGCCTCCTCCTTAGCTAGAACGACTGCTTCGCAAAAGGAGGAGACGGCATCCCAGTCCCCCTCGCTCCGTATCATGACCCGAAGTAGGGCCGGACGCGAGAGGTCGCCATCGCCGATCACGTCCCTGAAGGCACGGCGGTGTGCTTAGCCCACGCAGGGCATTCCGCTACAGTGTGTTCCACCGTGTCCTAAGGGCGGTCCTCGCTGTGATGACACCCGGGCGTTTCCTCCCGCCCAAATGAAGGGACACTAGACTGCAGACTTCAGTAAGAAATTACTCTACTTAACATGACTTATGTAGATATGATTTTTTTAATTCCCAGAAACATCCTCGTTTACAACACACTTCATACTTCCTAATCTTATCATTATATTAATATTACTAGCGTCTGCCAGCGGTTTCGTCCCCCCTTTTTGTTAGGTGGATAAATAGTCATCAAATGACTCTTGAGGAAGTGACTCTTACAACTCTTACTAACTAAAAACCACCCCTTACCTTCCAACAGTTGCTCAAAGCCAAGGCCTCAGTCGGACAACCTACCCTCCAGCAAGGCTACAATCCTGGAGGGTCCCGTTTATGGAGGTCTGATGGCTCTTGAGGCCTGCCCCCATTTTACGCGCCGCACGCTCGAATCTGGTACTTGACAGGTAGCGAGCGATCCTTGCTTGCCGTGTTGCCGTCCGCAAACTCGCGCTTACGGTGGCCGGAGATCCTAACAATGCGACGCGATACTACACCCAAAGCTCTCCTGATACTCTCGAAACTGATCGAGGACGCTCGATAGATTTCGAGTAACTCTCGAAAGTGATCGAGGACGTTCGAAAGTGATCGAGGACGCTCGATAGATTTCGAGTAACGCTCGAAAGTGATCGAGGACGCTCGAAAGAGATCGAGGACGATCGATCGATTTCGAGTAACTCTCGAAATTGATCGAGGACGCTCGAAAGTGATCGAGGACGCTCGATAGATTTCGAGTAACTCTCGAAAGTGATCGAGGAGGGCGCCACTGACAGATATAGGGCGCCACTAACCGGTATAGGGCGCCACTGACCGGTATAGGGCGCCACTGACCGGTATAGGGCGCCACTGACCGGTATAGGGCGCCACTGACCGGTATAGGGCGCCACTGACCGGTATAGGGCGCCACTGACCGGTATAGGGCGCCACTGACCGGTATAGGGCGCCACTGACCGGTATAGGGCGCCACTGACCGGTATAGGGCGCCACTGACCGGTATAGGGCGCCACTGACCGGTATAGGGCGCCACTGACCGGTATAGGAAATACAGACTCTGGCAAAGAATTCCACTCTTTAGCAGTACGCACAAGGAAGCTTGAAGCGAAGCGCTTCGTGCGTGTCGGCGGAACATCTACCATGAATCGGTGACGCTTCGCAGATTGTCTTGTGGTATGGTATCTTTATTTTACTTATATTGTAAATGGGTTTGTAAGTCACATGTATGTTTGTTACTCGATCACGTCAAAATGAAGGGAAAGGGAATGTCGTAATGTAGGAATGTCTGAAGGGATTGGGATGAAATTTGGAACAAGAGTAAAGCCACTGACAGTAGCTACCAAATAAATAACTCAATCGGCTTTGTAATGTTCAATGATATAGGTATCATTTATTGTGCATTGTAGTATGTGATCGATTTCCAATAAAATACAAATATAACTATACACTATTTCCTACATTCAATGAAAAAAGTCATGAATTCAAATCTAATATTATTGGAACAATTTAGAATATTATAAAATTCTATTTATTAATTTACTAAATTACACTTTTGATAAGTTCTCAATACATGCCTTATTTATTCAGTAATTACTATACAATAATATTTAACTAACTATTCAAATGCCAAACACTAATTTGTTATGATTAATATCTGTTTACAATTAAATTATATTCCTAAAATAATTAACTTACTACAGAATATATTTATTTAAGAATATTAACTGCTTGAAATCCGTTTTATGCGACACAATAGAAAATATGTTGTGTATTTGTGTCTCACGTGGATAAGCGTTTAAGCACACAGCAGGTTAATAAGCAGATAATATTGTATTTTCTATATCAATCAAACAAAGAAGAGTCTTAACACATGGCAGAATACATTTACAAACACTTGATAACAAGAATGCAGTTTTATGCACATAGTCTCTTGCACTAAAGGCATTAAAGTTTGTATCAAGTACTGGTGCTTGAAGATGTCATGTTGCCATTCTGAACATTTCCTGACACAGACCTCGTAGCAGATAGATGAGAAGCCTTCAGTCGGTCCAGCTCATTCACCCAAGAGCGGACATGCTCTAGTCTATGCCATGCCATCTGCAATACTTTCTGTGATGCATAACCTGACCCTTCGTGAGGTTGCCCAGTAGAAACTTGGGTCAAATAGTTGATCTGATCACTTAGCTTTGATTCCACTTGACTCAAAGTTCTCAGAAATTGTGAAGTGTTTGTTTCCGCTTGTTTCTGACCCGACTTTTCTTTGCTCAGCTCCAGCAGGGCTTGAGCTGCAATAAGGATTGAATTGTTAGTTTGTCTCGCAAAATATCGAAATGGTCTGCCATATAAAAATTTCCAACCAATTCTTACCTGCACATTGAAGACATGTTATTATATCTTTTTCAATATCATCAAGTATTTGAATCCTTTCCATGGGAGCAGTCATTTCGACAAATAACTTTAGAATTAACCTTTAGAATTAGCACCTCACAAAAGGATAGCAAGATATACGACGGTAAGTGATGCTGATGGTGCCCAAGTCCTTGCCTAACTCAAATCGCAAGATTACGATCGCAAGTTCGCAACAAAAAGATGCTCAAGAAACCAAAATCAGACACTGTAAAAGAAAAAACTTCTCACTCACAAGCTCACAAGACAGACAGTAGTAGCCCTAGCTTGTCACTGTCATAAGTTAAGTGTCATAGTGACACCAACTTTCCACCAAGCGAAACTCGTCTTTCTCAATTATCGATACCATTTTCTCAATTATCGATTATCGATACCATTGCCCTTTTCACCCTATAATCTATCACTACATAGTTTATAATAAAGTAGCTATCCGCCGTCTGTCTGTCCCTATGTATGCTTAGATCTTTAAAACTACTGAATTTTGATGCGGTTTTTCGCAATAAATAGAGTGATTTGAGTGATTGTGTTTATATGTATAATACATGCATATTGCACCCATAAGAAGCCGGGACGGGTCGCTAGTATATTATTATATAAAAAATGAAAACCTTTTTCTCCTTGGTCACGGCATCACGCGTGAATGGCGGGACCGATTTCACTAACTCTTCTTTTTAAATTAGTTAAAATTAATTAATATTAAAACTGATTGAGTCGTAGTATTTATAGGTTGCCTTGCCATAAGTATAATAGGTACTAACGACACCAATTATTCCAAACTGTTTTTTTATAAGCTGCACTTTATGTACTTACAATGATAAGTAAAGTAAGATGAGGATGGAAATGCCCATACATCACATAATGTCAGTGTTAGGTACTATTATTTCCATATTATTCCAGTAGCACGGAGCACGGAGTAGCACGGAGTCTGGAAATGTGCCCGGTATATGGGACTATATATCCCCTATTACATGGGACTCATAACATAAATAGTGAAAGGTGGGTGGGTATATTGTACAGTGGCATAATGTACACCTCTGCCTCCCCCTTTGGGGATAAAAGGCGTGATGTTATGTTACTCTTTGATAAGTTTGATACTTACTGTTGTATTGCTTAATGTGGCCCACTGGCCACGGACAACCTCAACCTACCGCTATAAAAAGTAGAGTAGCTCACATCACAATGCAGCTACGTATTTTCACAATAAAGTTATTTTGTAATTATGTACATGGTAACATTATTACTTTTGACAGTTTCCAGTTCATGACAGCTCACGCATAAACTCCTTTTCAATCGGCCATTTTTGTCGCGACTGTCTACGAACATGGTAGGTGTTCACCAGCAAATCTGTAATTATTTTGTCAATCTTGTGGTTTTACTATAGTGTGCCTAATTATTTATTTTAAATATGATGTATTGTAATCTTGTGTTATAATATTATCCTTATCTATTAACTATTTTGTTACTTTACTGTAGTGGTCGTGAAAACATACAAATGATGATCTCCTATTTTTATAATATACGGTTAGAACCTGAGTTCTATGTGAAGATTTTACTAGGGCGGACTGATGTTTATGTCTATACACTCCGTTAAAGTTTTTCTTCACGTGCAATGTAAGTAATATATTCAATCTGGTTGCAGTCGCATAGAAAGTTTTCGGCGCCCCGTCATGGGTCCATGGGATTCTACCCCAAGAAGAGGTCCCGCCGTCATCGTGGTAAAGTAAAGGCATTCCCCAAAGATGATGCTAGCAAGCCAGTCCACCTTACCGCCTTCATCGGCTACAAGGCCGGTATGACCCACGTGGTTCGTGAACCCGACCGTCCTGGATCAAGTAAGTTTCCAATAACATTTTCTTTTTGATACTTTGGCTGTGTTCTTGTATCGAGATGAAATGTGTAACAAGACCAAATCATTTTTCAGAGATCAACAAGAAGGAGATCGTAGAGGCTGTGACTATCATTGAGACGCCACCAATGGTGTGCGTTGGTGTGGTTGGTTACATTGAAACTCCTCATGGTCTCCGCGCTCTGCTCACTGTTTGGGCCGAGCACATGTCGGAGGACTGTCGTCGTCGCTTCTACAAGAACTGGTAAATATTTATCTTATCACTTGATGTCCAACTAAGTAAAATGCCAGCATTTCTATTACTGTTTCTCCCATTTTGATACATTCATACAATGTTTCTAATCAAAATCTATAGCTCTCCTCTTGGAAATGAGAGTTCTATATTAGATATGCCCAGTGCATATTGCTACCAATTGGTCTCCGCTCAACGATGAGGCCTTTTGGTTTTTTCTTACAGCAGGCAATTTATGATTCACCAGGTATAAATGCAAGAAGAAGGCATTCACTAAGGCCAGTAAGAAATGGCAAGATGAGCTTGGACGCAAGTCCATTGAAAAGGACTTCAAGAAAATGATCCGCTACTGCAGTGTGGTCAGGGTAATTGCTCACACCCAGATGAAGCTGTTGAAACAGCGTCAAAAGAAAGCTCACATCATGGAGATCCAAGTTAATGGTGGAACCATTGAAGATAAAGTCAATTGGGCTAGGGAACACCTAGAAAAGCCCATTCCTATAGACTCTGTGTTTGCTCAGGATGAGATGATTGACTGCATTGGTGTCACCAAGGGTAAAGGATACAAAGGTATGGCTCATTTTGACTTGTTCTGATCTTCATTTTTTTATTTGTATCAATAATTTTAGACTAATAAATATTTTTATTCCATAGGTGTGACCTCACGTTGGCACACAAAGAAGCTGCCCCGCAAGACGCACAAGGGTCTGCGTAAGGTAGCTTGTATTGGAGCATGGCATCCTTCTAGAGTGTCATTCACTGTTGCCCGTGCTGGTCAGAAGGGTTACCACCACCGTACAGAGATGAACAAAAAGATCTACCGTATTGGACAAGGTATATTTCAGTAATTTTAAGTCTCTAAAATTCATCTTGAATAAGTGTAATTTGAGTTACCACAAAGTGATGGAATAAGACCTCATTTTACAATTTTTTCTTTGTTTGCAGGAATCCACACCAAGGATGGCAAGGTTATCAAGAACAATGCTTCTACTGAATATGACTTGTCTGAGAAGTCCATCACCCCTATGGGTGGTTTCCCCCACTATGGAGAAGTCAACAATGACTTTGTCATGATCAAGGGTTGCTGTATGGGACCCAAGAAGCGTGTCATCACTTTGAGGAAGGTGTGTATCTAAAACAATGTTTCAGAACCATTTGTACATATTTGGTGTGCAGTTATAAATAAAATTATAATATGGAACTAATTTCGAATCCATTTCTAATATATATTTTATTATAATTTCAGTCCCTGCGCACCCACACGAAGAGAGCCGCTCTTGAGAAGATCAACCTCAAGTTCATCGACACATCGTCCAAGTTTGGTCATGGTCGCTTCCAGACGCCGGCTGACAAGGCTGCCTTCATGGGAACTCTCAAGAAGGATCGCATTCGTGAAGAAGCTGCGGCTACCACCGCCCCTGCGGCTCCCGCCCAGTCTTAAACATCTGTTTAGACAAATAAAAATAAGAAAAACTTACTGTCTTTTTTTATAGAAAAACAATTTCATCCTTGTGTTGTCTTGTCACCTCAGGTTTAGGTTACTGTTTGCTAGTATTGATTACTGGAGTTTTGAGTGTAGTGTGTCCACTCCTAATAAGGTACTTTCCAATTTATTTGAGAAAGTCTCGAGGACAGCTCAAATAGATATAGATGAATGTAATCTAAACCCACCGGCGCCTTTTCTTCTATCGTAATAAATAAATATTAGGTAGGTTACATAGTTAACCTTTTGTTAAAATCATCTAAATAAAATAAGTCTCGAGCCTCGGGTTGAACCGTATCTGTACTCCCTCTAGTTCCTCTAATTTCTTTATTAGATTTTGTGACTTCACGACAACCAACCGGAATATATGTGAACTGCGGAGGTATCTAGCAATCTACATAGGTAGGTACCTACTCTACTGTTGGAAATGTTTTTCTATTAGGTAGGTACCCATCACCACCTCATGAGCATATCGGTACATATTATATTGTGGTCTCCTGGGCAATATGCTAAAAAATTTGCCGATAGATTTGAATATAAATCTCAAATGGCACACGGAGCTATCGGTCCAACGTTAATTTCGGCTTTGCAGCCTTTTATTTCTCCTATTAAATATGAAATAAGTTCTTTGGCTTCAATGTGACTGAATCCAGGGATCCATGTCCTTTAAATCAAAATTTGCAGGTGGTTATGATAGGTCATTTTGCTCACATTGTAAAATAAATTAGGTAAACACATACTTATAGGTATGTGCTACATGTTTTTTATGGGATAAACGAGCAGCAGACGGATCACCAACATACAAGTTCGTTACCGGCTTTTTGTGGATTAAGAGTTTGAGGGGATTCAGGGGACCCCTCCCCTGAATCCCCAACAATCCTCGGTCGGGGAGAGGGGAGTCGGGTAATTGGGCCTCAGGTCACTTCATTCACACGACGAAACGCAGCGCAAACGTATGACGTCGGTTTTCTGTGAGGCTGTGGTATCTAGACTCCGATGGTACCAGCCCATTCATGCCGAAGCATGGCTCTCCCACAAGATGTGCTTGGTTAAAAATGAACAACAGGAAAACATGATAGACAGTTTAATACATTGAGAAAATAAAATATTATTTTACGCCCAATACTAGTTATATGTTATAAGTTATAACAATATTAATAAAATTTAATTTCATTGGTTAGATTTTTCAAAATAATTATTTTTCTTTATGTACCTAATACATTGTAACACTATATTACGTTCTTGCCTAATTTCATTTTGCAACAGTTTCTGGAGGAGTGTCGATGGTACTTTTCGTTTTGTCTTATAGTTAGGTTTCTCTACATTTTTCGGTGGGATAACACTTTTTACTACAGGTTTTTCTTTATTTTTTATGGTTATTTCTTGAGCTGCATCATGTTCAACATTATTTTTTTCTATTTTTACTTCCTCTGGTGCATCATCATCATCACTTTCATTTTTCTCAACTTTAGGAGGATCTTCTATGGGCTTTATTTTACTTTCATTTAATGATTCAACTTCTTTCTTGTCTGGTACCACTAATTTATTTATTTCTTCATTTTCTTTTTCTTCAGTTTCTTCATCTGTTGACCCATATTCACACATGAGGGATGTTAAGGCTCCACATAACACAGGATTCTTATTTGACGTTTCTTTAGGAACTTCTATTGTTGCATCATAGTCATCATCAAACAGTTCATTACTATTTTCTTCTGTCTCCGGAACTTCTTCAGCACTGTCATCCATCTGTATACTGAGAATGCCAGCAAATGGTTTGAGTTTATTCTTTTCAACTGTAGCAGGTGGAGTGGGAATATTTTTCGGTTTCTTCTTTGGAGGTTCAGAAGTATTCATAGATATTGTATTTGGATTGGAGTTTTGTCTGTTCCCCCAATTTTGTCTATTTGTTCTAGGATTCTGATTCCGTTTGTCAGTGCCTAGTTTTCTCTTAACACCAGGACCATCTTGACCTGAAAAGAAAATAAGAACAATGTTTTAATACAATGAAAAGAAGATGTTCACACTTTGTTTATAGTATAGATTGAGAGGCAAACAATAAGATTATTACTTGATTGTTTTCTATGGTTCCTATGATCACGGTTCAAGTTCATTTTTTCTCCTCTAGCAATTTTTTCCTGGTGTTCAGCCTCCTTTTTTTCTATATTCACTTTTGTGGGATATTTCTTTTTCCTTTCCTCCCTCCATTTTTGTATTTCTTCAGGGTTGTTTAAGTTTGCAATCTTTTTATACAATCCAGTTGAATGTTGCATTTGTATGTGTTTGGTGATAACTTTTGGATGAGCAACAAATTGGCAGCCATCTATGTTGCATTTCTGAAAATAACACATGTTAATTGTCATTTACAAATTTCAAAGTGAAACAAAATAATTCAAATGTATTATGTATTGTATTGAAGATCAGTATGCCTAGCATAGCAATCACCACCCTTTTTTTTTTTTTTTTTTTTTTGAGCGGGGAAAATCATCCAATGACTTCTCCCGCCCGGGTGAGGCGGGAGGGAGTGTCAGACTCTTACTGACTAAAAACCACCCCGTTCCTACTCCTGCACTTCGAGCCGGAGCCCCGGCAACCCGTTAAGTCTTCCGCGGCTCCGAGCAATCACCACCCTGACTTTAAGTAATCATGTTGTAATTTGGTGGTAATAATTGCTACCTAGAGTAGCCCAGTTTCCAAAGGACCTATCTCAGAGCTTAACAGGCCCAGTAAAGCACTGTTGGTTCTAATGAGTACTTCTACTCTTATAGATAATTGTGTTGAGATCCAATTTCTTTTAGAACCAATATGACTTCATTTTATGTACTATATTAATTAAATTATATAAAATGGATGGTTTACCTGATGTTGTTGTTTGTGTTTTTCAAGAATGTCTTCTGTAGGGAACCCTCTGTCACATGTTTCACACCAATGTTCCTCACTATTTTGATTTTCTGTTTTCATGACTGGTGGTCCAAACCTCGGATTGTTCCACGGTAATCGTGGTGGTCCTCGAGGTCTCCAATGATTCTGATGAGGCATATGCCCTCGGCCGAAGTTGTTCATCATTCGCGGCCGTGGTGGTCTATTCATTTTACAGCACAGTAGTCGTATTATTTTTATTCAAATTTAATTGTTAAATTATAGAAAAAGAAACTATTATACCTTACAGGTAACTACTTTTCACTTAACACTACAATATTGCCGTTTAAAGCTTTAGCGTATTGACTACAAATTATAGTATGCATAAAATAATAACCATGTTAAAAAAACTTCTTTCAGTCTCAATAGCATGTAAATAAACATAACATAACCTCAATTTACCAAACGCAAACTTTAACTTAAGTTCCATAGACAAATGCAGTGTTGCCAGTACAACAACATAATTATCAAAGAACAAAGACTAACAGTCGTAAATAGTTACGGGTCGTAATAGTAAAGGGTATTCTAAAAACCGACTATACGATGTTATAATGATTTTCCATTGATTTTTTTAGGAACTACCAATAATTTGCTAAACTCGACTAAAAGTATGACAACTCAACTATTTGTCATTGACAGCCGACAGAACTGACAGTGTATTTGTCATCTTCAAATGACATTTAGGAATTTTGGAACTACCGCGGGGTCATTTTTTGTTTACGTTTTTACGGATACATTTAGTTCGGTGCCTCGCAAATTTGTGTAATAAACAATGAATAATTCTGTAGCAAGTTCGGCGGCAAAGGTACATAAGAAAAACAAAAATTAACAACTTGGAATTTCATTCATTTATCTCATGTTCAATATGTACATAATTTTTTTTCAGGTTGGAGAAATATTTACTGAAGCCGGAGCTGCTTTTAATAAATTAGCAGATTTAGCAATGACGCTATATCCTATGGGAGAGCCAAGTATTAGGTAAGATATTTAAAGAAAATAACTGCAGCTGGTTTTGGATCCAAGCCATCAATTTGGATCTAGTAAGAATGTAACTTTGTTTGTCTTGTTTATCTTATTTGAACGATAATTTATACAGTTTTAACTGACTTTCCAAAAAGGAGGAGGTTCTCAAATTGGCCGGTATCTTTTCAGACTTCGTAAGTTTCAATGGGTGTTGTGGGTAGGTACTAAGTACAATGAATAATAATTGTTTTTTGGATTTTGGTTTGTGGTATTCGAAGCCAGTTTCTTTGTGACTTTATTATATAGAATGAATGTTGTACTTTCCAGTCAGCAGCCTAAAACACCTGTGAAGAAGAAAACAGTAGAAGAAAGAACAATTACCAGTGCCAGTGTACCAGCCCATACACAGCATAATATCCACTCTGCACCTTTATCCCAACAGGTTCTTAAAGACACATTTAACAATTTTATTATCCTATTGAAATTATTTACAATAGTTTCAATCACTTAACTCGTAGAGTACCGTCATTATAGACACAATAATAGAACAATAGGTTGCGGTCACCGGTGACCGCTTGGTGTTTTTACAACAGTTCACCTTTTTTCATAAAATTGTTTAGTGTTATTATCTTAGTTTGTTTTTATTACACATCACCGACAACAATATTCTTAAGGTGAAGCGGCAAAGGCAGACCACATTTACCTATATACCTATGCCTCGTCCATTTTTTTTAACTAGCTACTCCTGCGCAGTTCCACCTGCTTTGCTTGGCTCCTATTGATTTTAGCATGATGGTTTATAGCCTATAGACTTCTTCGATAAATGAACAATTTAGCATAAAAAAAACCATTCAAATCGGATAAGTAGTTCTGGAGATTAATGTGTTTAAATAAACACAAAATCTTCAGTTTTATAGAATACTGATATTTACCCACACAAGCATTTTCCTCAAGATAGCATATTGTTGTAAATATGTTACTCATGAAATAGAAAAAATAATACTTAAAGAAAAAAGGAATAGTTCCTAAATGTCCTTTTGAATTCTAAACTATTTAAAAAGCAACCAATGTTATTTTAATTGTATATTATTTATTTATTTTCAGGTAACACTGAACATGCTAAATGCTCAAGAAACAGAAATAGACACAGATGGATTAGGCGGGGATGTCAAGTTGGAGTTTGAATCGAGCACAGATGAAGTGACCACATGATATTTACTGTAACTTATAATTTAATCATTTATTTATAAGTAGACATTACCTATTTTGAATTATTCTTATAAAATACTGTATATCATTAGGCAAAGAAGATTACAAACGAACTCTTTAGTTATAATCTTCTGTGTCTATGTAAAGACTTTGGATAGCCAACATAAGTAGAGTGTTTGTGGCATTAGACTATCTCCTATTTCTTGTCTTTACATCTTTGATAATATAATTAACTTACAAAATTGTTTAACTTTATTTTATTTTTAATATAAGATATTTAATCTTATCATCATCAACAATAGCTTGTAACAGTCCCCTGCTGGACTTTGAGCGCATTTGAGATATGAACTTAAAATTTTATCAGAGGGTAGTGCTAAAATAAAAATTACTGACAAGTCTTTTTTTTTAAAACAAAAAATTTAAGACGAAATATAAAAAAAAGAAGTATTCAAAATAGGTCTAGGTATTTCATAAGTATGTAATGTTTAATTGTACAGTAAAAATATATTTTCTAAATCTAAATAAGACGAAGTGTAATGCAAAATCAGTTTACAGTACATAGTATTAGTTCTGTCACATATCAGTAAGTGATGTATCTTAAAATGATAAATATTAGTAGGCTGTATAGCTAACTTGTAACAAAGTAAAAAAATACAGTTGAATTATTTTTTTTAAGTCCATTGAAAATTAGCCAGTGTAATTGTATGCTCTTTTGTAAATGTATATGTGCCAAAGTATGTATCAAAGTAATTAATATTATCTGAGTGAGAACTATAAATTCAAAACATTGCTGTTATAAAAACTAATTATTGATTTCTTTTGTTGACTTACTGAACTGTATTTTTTCAGTTTATGAATTTTTACCAACTTCAAAAAACTGACTATATTCGGCTGGTTGTTTTTTTTTTTTTTTGTTCGCGCGGTACTCCGCCATTTGTGAACCGATTTCGAAAATTCTTGTTTTGTTTGAAAGGGTATACTACCGAGGTGGTCTCATTTCCATGAGGTCAGGATCTGATGATGGGATCCTAGGGAAACCGAGGGGAACTTTTTACGATTTTTAAACACTACAATTTGAGTGTCTGGAGTCGACCTGATGATGGAGCCGACAGACAGTCGAGCTCTCTCTCTCTCTCACTCCTCAGCGGTTTATATTAACTACCTTGTGTTTGGGCTTGATTAATTTGTATTGATGAGGACTTTACACCTAGATAGAGTCGGGCTGTCATTAAGGGTCTGATGATGAAGAAGTGTAATTGGTAAGGGAACTCCTCAACGGTATTCAGTAACTACCTTTTGTTTGGGCTTGATTAATTTGTATTAATGAGGACTTTACACCTATATAGAGTGGGACTGTCATTAAGGGTCTGATGATGAAGAAGTGTAAATGTTAAGGGAAGTCCTCAACAATATAATGTAACTACCTTGTGTTTGGGCTTGTATAATTTTGAAATAAAACTGACTGACTCGTTGGCGGAGTGGCCGCAAGTGCGACTGTGGGGCAAGGGGTCTTACGTTCGAACCTGGGTAGTGCAAAGTAATATTGGTTTTTTTAAGAAAACTCAGTAGTAGCGTGGAGTCTGGAATTGTGCCCAGTATATGGCAATAGGCGCACCTCGCAATAGTGAAAAGTGGGTGTTACATTGTACAATAGCATTAAGTGTTGTAATCTTCTAACAAATGCGTGATGTTATATTATCAAATAAAAATGCAAACTAAACTTAAGTAGGTAGATTTAATTTAATTCTCATTTAATATGACATGAAATTGTAAATACTGTTTCTTAAAGATACAAAAACAAAAATATTAAAAAAAATATTGAACATTACTTGTGTTTCATTTTTAAAACTTGAGTACATTATAATTATTCTCTTTGTAACTTGTACTTATAAATAAATAACGACTTTTAAAAGAAATATTTATTACTTTTGTACTGGAGAACTTTGTCTATGGAAGCTTTGAACTCTTCTATTCCAAGAGGAAAATTGAGATTCATAAGTTTTAAAATGAGTGTCCTCAGACAAAGTCTTTTCAATAACCATATCAACATCACTTTTAATTTTCAATGATTCATACAAATCAAAGGTATTCCCCGACTTCTTAACCCTTCTTTGGGCATTTCTATAGCACTTCCATGGTTGTGGCTCAATTATAATTGTTCTAGATATAGATTTTAAATATTTTAAAAAGTCTAGCAATCCTGCATCACCATTGTTTAAATGAATCCACATGGTTACTGAAAAACAGAATGATAAGTCAAAAGATTTTTGATTACAAGAGTCCAAATAACTTTGGATAAGTAATCGGTCATTTTGCTCCATAATATTGCAAGTTACAAATTTAATAAAAGGATTATCATTAACTTCTTTAGCTCTTTCTATCAACGTAGAATCAATGTCCACTGCTAACATATGAATATCACAAGTTGGATAAATAGTTTTTAAATACACGTATATAGCTTTAGATAAATCTCCTGTGTTGCAACCTATATCGAGACACACGATCTGCTTATTCACAGGTTCTGGAAACATTTGGGGATGTAGATTTTGAATCCTTTCACTCACATCATGAAATGAATAATAGTTTATAAAGTTTCCGAACTTCACAGCGCCTGGGTCACTCCCGTAAAAGTTAAGATCATTTGATTTTACTTCACTTTCACCGTTCATTTTATAGAGTTGCTTTTTTCAGGAAACTAATAAATTGATACACGATATTTTGTAACGTTTACATGCCATTTGGCACGTGAAATCGTGAATACAAAATGAAAACAACGAGTTGACACTAGTGACAGTGACTATTATTGACATTGACAGTTTTTGTAACTGATGTCAATCGAAATGTTTCGTCTGCTGTTTCTGGACGATATCGAACCTGCCTGAAACCAATATTTCACCGTCCACCGTCAATTAAATAAATACTTACACAAAAATTAATTTAATACACATGTAAAATTTATTGAAACCGATTAATTTATTCCAATAATTTAAGTTAATAGTCCGGTAGCTGGTTGGCTGGCTGGATGTTCCCACTACTAGACTTATGTAAGGAAAATAAGTGGTTTTTACAATGAAATTCCCAACCATATCCAAAATTTATGTCTAAATAAATTTAAAAATGTCATTTTATAGTAAAGCTATATAGTAATTTTATAGTAAAGCTTTTTATAAAATAAAAGACTACCTAGATGATAGTCGGGCTTGGGAATAAACCGCTGTAATGTCCACACAGGTCATGTTGACGTTAGTAACATATAGTTACATTTCTTTTTATATGTAATTTGACATTATTACTTTAATCTGACATTGTTTTTCATTTGAAAATTTTATTTTTTCTTTACCTTGACATTAACTTTTTATTTTACAATTGTTAGTGCTAGGACCGTGCGAGATTTTGCCTCGCCATTTTTTTTCTAATTACCCATATTCTGACAGTTTGAGAGTATTTGTGCGACCCACGCAAATGTTCTTTATATTGGTATTGTTCGTTGAATCAGTCAGCCTCACCTGTGAATTGAGCTGATTGTAAACCGACACATGCGTACTGCCTTCAGAGCAGGTCCGCTCAAACTGTTGTGGTTCTTTCCTCAAAAGGCCACTACAGAAAGAACTTGTACGGTTCTCACACATAATCTTTTATACACGTTTGTCTGGACTTTAAAAGAGACAGACCTCTGAGTTTGTTTCGGCATTTGTTCTCAGAGTAGTCAGTTAGGAAATGTCGGCCTCGTCGTTCGCTTGATAAAATTGACGTGTAAAAGTGCTGCCTTGTAGCCTATTTGCAGAAATAAATAAACTTGACCTGCTGCTGCTTAATCTTCTAAGAGGTTCAATCTACGGGTCTGTTTGGGCCGTACAAAGTCTTATCGAATACTTTTATTAAAATTATAATTCTAAAACTAGCTGATCCAGCAAACTTCGTTCCGTCTAAATTTTTTTTATCTTAACTTTAAAACCTTCCTTGGACTTTCACAAATTAGCCAAATTGGTTCAGCCTTTCTCGAATTTTAGCGAGACTAAGAAACGGAAATACATTTTTACATAAGTAGATTTCAGAGGGGTTTGTTAACGTAATCAGAAATCCAAATAATTGGCGAAAACTGATTGATAGGTAGTAGGTAGGTACCTCTCAAACGTTAACGCGTTATGAACATGTAGTCAAAATTAATTTATCAGTAGGTAGCTAAATGTTAAAATTCAGAAGATTCCGGTTGTTCTTTTTTTGATGTGTGAAGAGGCTTTTTCGCAGTAATGGAACAATCGCAGATGATGATAACATAGTGCCTAATCTTACAAAATTAGGTAGGTAGTTTCGACTTGGGAATGACGACGAGGAGTTTTTTTTAATTAAGTAGATATTAATGTCCCGTTTCAACTAGATATATGATAGCTAGATAACATATTTATATGATTATTTTGTGAAAGTTACGAGTGGCAAGTGATACAAATTCCAAAAGACCATTTCCGTTGTTACATTAATAGGAAAAGTAAGCATAAGTATGCGTGTACACGCATTTGTATTTGGCACGAATAGGTAGACATTAAATTTTCAGTGAGCAGTGGTTAAAACGATCCATTAATGGTTAATTTACAGTACTTAATCAATAATATTTTTATTACGTACATACCTTCATGCCATTGCCCCTGACAGAGCTACGGTGGAGTGCTAGAGTACTTAGGTGTTGCGGAGAACCTAACGGGTAACCGGGGCTCCGGCTCGACGTGCAGGAGAAGGAACGGGGTGGTTTTTAGTCAGTAAGAGTCTGACACTCACTCTCGCCTCACCCAGGCGGGAGCAGTCATTGGATGATTTTCCCCCCTTAAAAAAAAGAGTACTTAGGTACATTCAAATGATTCCAAGAGCGTCTACCTACTTGCTTTGATTTTCTTTACGCGCATCGTACTACGTCTGGTCGTTAGCGCAAAGTGATAGTAATAGCTACTTACACAGAAAATATTCGAGATACTGCAACCGCAATAACTGCAACTATATTTTCATACGTGTAAATTCATATTACAATTAGGTATCTATTTTTCCTGGACCAGCTAAAGTATTCCCAATTCTTTCCTTCTCCAATCTCCCTAATCCCCAAATCCCTAACCACCACTACTACAAAAGTCAACGCATATGTAAACGGGACTCACGACGGGCGAAAACTGAGGGCATTTCGATAATAATTATCTAATGGCTACTGCCACCTGTGTGGGAGTGCCATACTTTGGCACGAATGGGCCGGCTTGATTGAAGTGATTCTACGGCCTCACAGAAAACTGACGTGAAACAAAGCTTGCGTTGTGTTTCGTCGTATGAGTGAGGCTACCAGGTCTAATTACAATCTTACCAACCCCCAACCATCCTCAAGTTCCTAATCCCCAAAAGGCACGGTAATGCACTTGTAATGCTTTTAGTGTTTCGGGTGTCCATGGGCGACGCCGATTGCTTACCATCAGAAACAATCAAACGCATCAGCGTTTGATTGTTTACCGGCTCATTCCATAAAAAAATCTATCAACACTATTCTTGTGAATGTCACAAAATAAAATCCACATTTAAATCTGCACTAAAAATAAAGCCCAACCCTTACCCATACTCGAACTTTTTATTTGAATATAGAAAAGAAAATACATGGAATCTTTTTACATAAAAGAAAAAAAAACTTTTTGTGCAACTCATACGTTAAAAATAAGAAGACGTCTGTGAATTGCAGTTGTGTAGATATAATATTTGAACCTTAGGTAGTAGCTCGATATTTAGATTAATCTACTAAATATTGGACTTCAATCCGCAGGTTATGCTAATTTTATTTAATAAATTAAGAAAACCAATTAAATTTCATTTAAACGCGCGTTCTCGTACACACGGGTAAATATTTTAATAGAAAAGCGAATTAACTATTCTGTTCAATCAAATAAAGAACGGGTTGCAAACTTGAA